GTTTTCACAGGACTGCGCCTTGGAGGAAGTGTCCCTACTGCTTCGGGGAACCCAGCAACTGTAAATCAGGTCACAATATGGCCCTGGCTTATTCATCCTCCTGAGACGTCCACGTCCTGGTGTCGGCGAGGGACCCATTGACCCGTTCATGGTGGATTTGCAGAGTCACCACTTTGAGTGAGGTCAGCCCGCCTTGCTCTTGCTGGACGGCGTGTGCTGGGGGCTTGTCGCAGCCAAGGTGACCCATCCGTGGGCCGGGTCTTGATCTCGTCCCTCCGTCTCTTTTTATCTTTCAGAGACATGAGGTGGGGGACGGGGACTCACCAAGCGTGGGGACATCCCCCTCCTATCCCTGCTCCCTGGCCTCCCCCGAGACTCTTCTCCTCCGGGGGGAAATGCGGGCCTGGACAGCAGCTGCGCCCTTGTGTCTCCGACGTGACAGGGAGTGTCGTTAAGGCAGGAGTCCCCTCCGTAAAAGGTCACTTTCGGGACCTTGGCGGGTGCTCATTAGCAACCAAGGCCAAAGCCGACTCAGTGCCCCTCCATAAATGACAGCACATCCTTGCGAGAGAGTACCAGGCAGCTATTAAAAATAATGCTTTCCGAGAATTTTTACAACACTGAAAAATGCTTATGACATGGAGTAAAATGAAAGAAAGATGTAAACCCACACACGGAATATAGAACACAGTCCTGGTTGTGTGGGAATATCATAAAATGGGGACCTCGTAAGGGGTCCCAGCAGGAGAGAGGAAGTGTGAGCTGTATGTTTCTTTCTTATTCTATTTTTAAAATTTCCTACATTGGGCATTTGTGACTTTCACTTGCTAAAAAAAAAAAACTACCATGATTAGCTTTTTTTTCTCGTAAAGTTTTACAGGTTCTAATTTATTAAAAATCTTTCATGCCGGCTGATTTTTTTTTCTTCTTTTAAAAAAATTCCATTAGCTTTGGGGGGTTCACATGGTATTTGGTTACATGGCTGCACTGTATGGTGGCAAAGAAAAGTCTGGACCTCAGTGCATCCAACCCCCCGGCCCACTTGTGTACATTGGACCCAACAGGTGATTTTTGGGTTCCCTTGGCCCCTTTCGCCTTTCCCTTCTGAGTCTCCAATGTCCCTTCTACCGTTCTCTGTGCCTTTGCAGATCTTAGTTTAGTTCCCACTTATAAGCGAGAACATGGGGCTTCCGTTCCTGCGTTCGTTCACTTTGGAGGATGTTCTCCAATTCCACCCAAGTTGCTGCAAAAGACATTATTTCATTCTTGTTGATAGCTAAATAGTATTCTCTAGTGGACACAAAGGGGGACCACCCCAAAATAAACAGCGATTATCTTTTGGAGGGTGGGCCCGTTGTATCACAGGCTTTCCCCACCAGGTAAGTGCTCTAGGAACCCATGGGCATCAGGTACCAGTTAGCGTTGCTGGGAGAAACTGCGTTCACTGAATTTTTTCTGGAGATTCTTTCAGCGTGTCTGTCCAATTCATGACGGGGGATTCACGAGTGAACCTGCCCACGCCACGCTGAGCATTCAGCAGTTTTTCTGGATGAAAAAAGTCTTCAAGGGAAAACATTTTGCCGATGTGGAAGAGGCGGAAGAAAAAAACGGCAGAAGCCCTAAAAGGCATCAAAATGGACAAGTTCGAAAACTGTTTGGAGGCGTGGAGAAAGCGTCTCGATAGGTGTATTGCA